AACCCTTAGCCCTAAACCCCTAAACCCCAAACCCCAAACCCTAAACCCAAAACCCAAAACCCTAAACCCTAAAGCCCAAACCCTAAAGCCGAAGCCTTAATCCACAAAGCCCAAGACGGCCAGGCCTTGGAAACTAGGGCTTTGGGGCTGAAGGTGATTTTAAGAATCCGTTTAGGGTCTGGGGTTTATGGTTTAGGGTTCAGGGTTTGGGGTTTAGGGTTTGGGGTTTAGGGTTCAGGGTTTAGGGTTTAGGGTCTAGGTTTGTTGGTTTAGGGTTCAGGGTTCAGGGTTTAGGGTTCAGGTTTAGGGTTTAGGGTCTAGGGTTTTTGGTTTAGGGTTTAGGGTTCAGGGCTTCGGGTTTAGGGTCTAGGTTTGTTGGTTTAGGGTTCAGGGTTCAGGGTTCAGGGTTTAGGGTTTGGGGTTTAGGGTTCAGGGTTCAGGGTTCAGGGTTTGGGGTTTCAGGGTTTTTGAGAAGATCCAACGCAGGAGGAGCCAGTGGAGACTGAAGCCAAGACTGTGGTGAAGCACGTGTGCCTTCGGTTTATTAGACTATAGGGATTAGGGTTTAGGGTTTAGGGACAGGGCTTTGGAGTATGTTGGCAGGATTTATCAGGGACTTACGTGGATTTCGGGTTTACCTGTGGCTTCTACTGTTCTAGTTTAAGGGCTCTACTCTATAAGGCAGGGATCATGATCTACGATTTTGTTGCCATGCTCCCTCTCAACCCTTAACCCGATATGCTAAACCCTAAACCCTACCAAATCCCTGAACCCCTGAAGCTGCAGTTGATGATATAAATCCTGCACTACCCATAGCAAGGAATATACCATAATTCCTCAGTTTAGGGTCCTTAAGACAATGCAGATTTATATCATCAACAGTATTTTCTTACACTAAACCCTAAACCCTAAACCCTAAATCTCATGTTTGGGGTTCCTTTAAGGGTGTAGGGTTTTAGGGTTTAGGGTTTATGGTTCAGGGTTTAGGGGGCGGTTGCTTGAAGGTTGCTTTAAGGTTTCAGGTTTAGGGTCTAGGGTTGGGTTTAGATTGTTGGGGTTTCTAGCATCTGTTCAAGATTTTGAAACAGTGGCTCATATGGTTTATGGGGTAGTTCATGGTTTAGGGTGTGTAGGGTCGGGTTTCATGCGAGCGCTCTTAGAGCTCATAGGGCCTAGCCATTCGGAGTGTCCTATGTGTCTAAGGTTGAACCCATGGGCCCCTAACATGGGCCCTTAGGGGATTCTAGGGTCTCTTAAGGGTATATATAGGGTATANNCCAGGGTTAAGGGCCCATACTACGGGCCCATGGGTTCTACCTTAGAATGTGGGTAGTTCTCCAAACTAGGAGTAGGTTTGAGCCTCGGCTGCCCTGCGAGTGCCCTGCATCCTTAATAACGGTTTAGGGTTTAGGGTTTAGGGTTTAGGGTGTAGAGTGTAGGGTTTAGGGTTTAGGGTTACTTAACCCGTAGGTCGTCCGACCCCGCGTCCTTGCATTTGACTGCTTCGTTCCGCGCTCCTCAAATAGCGCCGCACAGCTAGCAGCAGCAACAGAGAGCTCATAAGGCAGCACAGAGCCTCGGTAAGCATGCTGGAGCGTCTTGACGGGCCGGTCATGGAGCTCCTGTTGAGCATGCTGTGCCCGCTTCAGTGGCTGGACCCGCTGCCACGCACCTTGCAGGACGCGGGCGCGGCTGAGCGCATGTTCGAGGAACGATGCGCGGATCATGCCGTCTTCCACCCTCCAAGCAGTCTTGCAATGTTTTTCGGGGGGGACACTCCGCAGCCTGACCGCCGCTGCAAGACCGCGGCTCAACAAGCTGCCTCTGTGGACGAGAAGAAGGGCTAGTGTGCGCTCTTCACCTCCGGAGAGGGGAGTACGTCAAGGTCGGAGCACGACGTGACAGTTTGGGTCCTTAAGACAACTCAGGGTTTATATCATCAACAGTAGCTTCCTACAAGAGACAAAAGCCCGAAACCCTACCCCCGCCAAACCCTAAACCCTAAACCCCAATCCCAAAACCCTCAACCCTAAACCCGAAACCCGAATAAACCCTAAACCCTAAACCCTAAACCCTAAGCCCGATAGTTTCCTACACTTTTGCAACCCCATCCCAAACTCCGAGGACGCCCCAGGGCTTAAGCCGGCAACCCGGAAATTTTTAAACGAGAGAAAGTACCTGCGACGGTTTAGGGTTTGGGGTTTGGGTTTAGGGTTTAGGGTTTGGGGTTTAGGGTTTAGGGTTTAGGGTACGAGGACTGCCCTAATCCGAAAACCTATGGCTTTAAGGGGTTCGGCTCCAGAATTACGGGGCCATAGCCTGCTATTTCTGACAGGAAAGCATACCGTATGCATTGTAAGGAAGACTCGATCCAATCGCCGTGCAATGTCAGCGCTTCAGCACATGGGGAAAAGACAGCCATAGTCAGCACAGGTCGAAACCCTTCAGCCCTGAACTCTTAAACCCTGAACCCCTAAACCCTAACCCCTGAACCCCTAAACTTTAAAACCCTAAACCCTAACCTCTCAAACCCTGAACCCTTTATCCCCTAATAGAACCCTTGCAGTAACCCTAGACCTTAAACTTTCAAATCGCTAAGCCCAAAACCCGTAATACTCCTAGGAGTCCTGGGGCAGATGAGGCTATAGAACCCTATAGTACCTTTCAAAGGAACCCGCTAAGCCCTACCCAGAGATGCCAAAACCTTTGAGTAGGGAATGTACCCTTAAATCACATGAAGGATCCCTCATAATCTAAGTCATATTCCTTAATCAAGAGGTTTTGGAGTCTCTCGGCGGTCTCCTTTGAGCACCCTAAACCCTAAATCCTAAGCCCTAAACCCTAAGCCCTAAACCCTAAACCCTAAGCCCTAAACCCTAAACCTTAAACCCTAAACCCTGAACCCTCTCAGGTGCCCCACTTGCGGCCTGGCTTTCGACTCCCACGAGGTCTGAGAGGGGGATTTTAAAAAGACTTTGCCGGATTTTTTAGGGAGTTTAGGGTTAAGGGTTTAGGGTTAGGGTTTAGGGTTTGGGGTTAGGGTTGCGTAGGACTTTGTAGGTTTTATGGAGGTTCGATTGGGCGTTGTATTGAAGTATCGGGGGCGTTGTCGGGATTTGAACGCCCGAACAGAAGGGTACAGTATAAACACCCTGCCCCACAGGCCCCTGAAACCCACAAACCTCAGACCATCTCAAAACCTAAGCGCTGCTCTCTTCCCGCCAAACCCTACAACACTGTCAGGACCTCATGCGCACCGATGCGCACCCTAGAAGCCTCCAAGAGCACCTTTTACAATGCAAACCCACGCAAGACTTTTTTTACCATTGATTCTCCACAGCATCCCTACTAAACCCTATCAGCCCTTAACCCTAGTCTCCAGACCTAAAAATCTTAGGATTTGGCAGCGATGTAGGGCTGGAGCTCAGTTCAGGATCACGGGGCTTAGCGACTGGGCTTATGAACACGGCAACTACACTTACAACTTCTAACTGGTTACAGCCAAATTTCAGGTGCTTATATTAACTGTATTTACAAAGTGCCAGGAATCTCCAAGAAGGGACTAGGTTTAGGGTTTCTCTAGAGTGCATGTAGGGCCTCAGGGTTTATTGGGTTTAGGGTTGGGTTTCGGGCTGTCCGGGTGAATATACCGAAGCCCCTAAACCCTAAACCCTGAGGGTAGAAGTCTGGGCCCCCAATATGGACCCTTATGGCCTGGTAGGGGCATTCTAGGGGCCTTTTTTTTTAATGGTACATGTACGGTATATAATTCGGCTCGGGTTTAGGGTTTAGGGTTCAGGGTTTAGGATGTAGGGTTTAGGTTTTCAATAGAACACCCTCAACCCTAAACCCTGAACCCTAAACCGAACCGTGGGAATCGGTAGACAAGGGTCCCAGCGTTGACGGCCCATATTCCGAAGCTGCGATCGAGACTTTGTGGCATCCTCGGGCAACTTGCTGGCGCACGAGGCCATGAGGAACCATGGAAGGTTGGCCCACCGCGTCGACGCGGTGGAGGAGTGGCTCTGGCCGCCAGCAGGATCAGGAAGACTAAGAAGCAAGACCATGCACAGGAAGGGGCACAACTAGGCCATATAGCATCGCAGCAAGGCAAGGCCATAATAACAATGGCCAAGGTTAGGGTCCAGCAAAAGCCGCGGCATCGCATGGCGATGCAGCAGCCTCNNAAAACCCGGCTGCTACTAGACCAGCATGCGAGCCTGCAACCCTAAAGCCCTAAGCCCTAAAACCTAAGACCCGAAACCCTAAACCCTAAACCCCTAAACCCTAAACCCCAAAACCCTAAAGCCCTGAAACCCGAAAACCCTATACCCTAAACCCCTAAACCCAAAAACTCAAGAACCCTAAAGCCCTAAAACCCAAGAACCCTACAAGCCGTAAACCCTGGGTTTGGTTTAAAGGTTAAACCACCAGCCTGAAGCTGCAAGCCAAAAAGCACCAAGAATCTTCTACCCTGGAATCGTCTGGAACCCTTGTAGGACCCTGAAAGCGCTTAGGGTTAAGGGTTTATTAGGGTTTAGGGTTTATTGGGGTTTAGGGTTTCTTAGGGTTTAAGGTTTATTATGGTTTGGGGTTTAGGGGCACCCTGAAAGAAGTACAACTTTATAAAGCCCAGAGGAGGTTCGGGAGCACTGGCTGCGTGAGCACGCGCCGAACTTGTCACCCAAAGCTGCAGCAGCAGCAGGTTCGCTTTTAGATGTTCGCAGGAACTGGGGCTCAAGGACTATTTCAGTTTTCTGCAGTGGTTTTTGCACGTTTGAGGTTTGTAGTGGTTTACAGACAGAGCTTTGGAGGAGAGCGTTGGCTTTATGAGGGGTGCCAATGGGTTTTGGAAGGCTTTAAGGGACACTCTAGGGTTTCACAGGGTTTACGGGGATGTGCAAGGATTTTGCGGTGATTTTGTCATGCTTATAGGGTCATCGTGTTTAGGGTTCAGGGTTTGAGGTTGTAGGATTTAGGGCCTTCACTCTGAAGTTATATATATATATATATTAAGGCTTCCAAAGCGATTGCGGGAGGTTTGGGATGAAGACTTTCGCACATGTACCAAGTAGTAGAATAGGTTTGGGGTTCAGGGTTTGGGGTTCAGGGTTTAGGGGTATAGGGTTTGGGTGTTTTGGAAGTTTGGGGATCCCTGCCTGGTGCTCTAGGCTGTCAGGCTTTTGGGGGCCCCGCCCTTGACCCTAAACCCTAAACCCTAAACCCTAAACCCTCAACCCTAAACCCAAAGGTTTGGTGTTTTGGTGCAGGAGTTTCGAGCTAAGTTAGGGGGTCAGGGTTTGGGTTTTCTGCACAGAGAGGACCCTGGACCCCAAACCCTAAACCCTAAACCCGGCTATTGCACTTTAAAAAAGAACCTAAACCCTAAACCCTAAACCCTAAACCCTAAACCCTAAACCCTAAACCCCTAAACCCTAAACCCTAAAACCCAAAGCCCCTCCATTTCTACAGAAAAAAACCCTCTCAAACTTGTAGAGACCTAATGGCTCTGAGCTGGCGTTCAGTTCAGGAAACTGCCCCTCAGGGTTTCCGAAAATAGGGTTTAGGGTTTAGGGTTCAGGGTTTAGGGTTTAGGGTTTAGGGTTTAGGGTTTAGGATCCCTATTATAAGGACCCCAAGATAAGGTTTCCTAATTTAGGGTGGTTTCGGCGGCCCTGAACCCTCAACTTTAGGGTTCCAATCTGCCGCGAACCTTCCACTATCCTTGGGAACCCTAAAACCCTAAACCCTAAACCCTAAACCCTACACCCTACACCCTAAACCCTACACGCTAAACTCTAAACCCT